CCTGCCTCAGCAGCTGGGATTACAGGCGCCCACCACCACGCTCAGCTGATTTTTGTATTTTTAGTAGAGATGGGGTTTCACCATGTTGGTCAGGCTGGTCTTGAACTCCTGACCTCGTGATCCGCCCACCTCGGCCTCCCAAAGTGCTGGGACTACTGGCGTGAGCCATTTTATAGATTCTTACCATCTTGAGAAGGGCTCTGTGCTTAGCCTGACTCCCTGGTGTGAAATCGAAATGCTTTCCAGTGTTAAGCCAATCTCATACTCAACAGCAGCCAAATTAGCCACATATTAACAGAACTCATATTAACAGAAGTCATATTAATAGAAGTAGAATGCATGGGTTTGCTCTTGGCTTTTCCCTCCCAAAAGACTCTTAGGTGAAATTCTGCCTTTAGCCAGAATATGTACATAACTCTCGTGGAGGTGGGAATGATGGCTTCACAGTGATCCCTCTGCCTCACTACTCTCAGCCATCTCAAGACACTTCATTGACAGAACCAGTGTTTCTGTTTATAAGTGTATTCTAATCTTCAGAATGAGCTCTTAACACATACACACATATGCACACACGCACAAAGTTTGAGTCTGGCCAAGGGAATGTCCAGTTGGTGTGTTCGAGTTGTTTAGAATTGTGGGCAGCCCTGGAGGCCACATAGGATTTTCCACTTGAGATGTTCTGCTCTCTTCTTCTGGTTCCTGGTTCGCTGCAGAACTTAGAGCTGCGTAACGGCGGTGTGGAGGGAGAAGGTATATATCAATTGAGTAGTATTACTATCGTTAGGGTTGTGTGTTCAGGAATGCTGGAATGACCCAGATATTCCTCCTCTAGTGAGGTTCCCCCAAGGGGACATACCTCAAGGTGAGAGCAAATGAGAAGTAGGCACGCCACCTTCTTTTCAGCCAGGGCCCTTTCCTGCCAGCGTAGGGAGACTCTGGTAGACATGCTGGAGCATGTGACTTAGGCTAAAAGCCTGAGTGAAGCCACTGACTCTTCCTAGACCTAAATCTGACCAGTGGGATACTTTACAGGTCAAAAGATGACTATGTTGCCAAGCCCACCTTGAATAACATTAGCTCCATTTATGTAGTGTTTGAAGTGGATCAGGGGTTTTACATGTACAAACTCATTTAACCCTCACAATAGTCCTGTGAGTCAAACACTATTATTATCCTCATTTTTAAATGAGGAAACTGAGGCACACACCAAGAATAAGATAGTTGTTATTCTCAACAAAGAGAGTTCCTGGATGGCATGCAGAGCTCCTGCCCACTGGTAAACATGGGCTAACACCCATTCTGACTTAATCAGAAGAAAACTAAGGTGGGGGTGGAGTCAGAGGGCAGGAGGGCAAACTTCTCCTCCCGCTCCGCTTGCTGGAATGACCAAAGCAAAACCATGATCACAGCCCACGATGCTGATGTCCTCGTGCTGGTGGGCTGCCGTCATCCCCTAAGGGATGCAAGGATGAGCGTGGTCCCATTAGATCCCAAGAGGCAGCAGAGGCAGCTTCTGAAAACTAAAATAAGTGAGTAGGCACCCCTCTCCACTCGCTCCCTTTCCCATGGCCCTGCTCTTCTCTCCTGGTTCCATCTGGCCCACTCAGCTTCTTGCCCAAGCCTCATTCTGAAGGTGCTGGCTCTCTCCATCAGGGTGAGGTCACCAGGCGTTGGGGTTACATGCATCTGCTTCAGGCCTGTCACTCACTAGTCCCTAATGACCTTGGCAAGGTTAACCTCTGAGGGTCTCCATTTCCTCATTCTTAAAGTGGGAATAATCGTACTTCCCAGCAAGGGTGCCAGAGGGCTTAAGGGATGGCTGTTTGTAAAGCCCTCAGCACAGTGAAGCTTAGCCAGCTGCTGAAATGTTGCTGATGGTGCCTCAGCAGCCCTTCCAAGGGCACTTGTGTTCTAACTAAGGTCCCCTGAAAACCAAAGGCCGTGGAGAATCCAGTGATGCTGGTGGCAGAGCCCTAGGGTGCCAACGGGGTGATGCTGGGGGCAGGCCAATGTCCCGAAGTCTCTGATTCATTCAGCCACCTCTGCTCGCCTGCCTACTTGCTGTTGAAGACTAACCACAGTCCGGTGATAACAGAGCAGAGCTGGGAGCCAGACAGCTACTCCAGGGGACTTTCTAATGATACATAGCAAAGCATTTTGAAAAAAAATTAAATGGTATCTCATTCAAACATTTCAAAAAATTGAGGTTTTAAAAACAAATGGTTCAGGTCACTTCCAAATAGAATAACTGATCAATAGCTTTTTTATATAGGAGGAGAGTGCTGATTCCAGGAGAGAGAGTTTAGGTCAAACCCCCTAGTTTTGGCACAGGAAAATGGCTTGGCAGAGTAGCTTATCACTCTAGGATGTTGTGAAGACTCAGTGAGGGATCTTGTTAAGATGCAGGCTCTAGGCTGGGCGCGGTGGCTCATACCTGTAATCCCAGTACTTTGGGAGGCTGAGGTGGGAGGATCACTTGAGGTCAGGAGTTCTTGACCAGCCTGGCCATCATGGTGAAACCCTGTCTCTACTAAAAATACAAAAATTCACCCGGTGTGGTGGCGCACACCTGTAATCCCAGCTACTTGGGAGGCTAAGACAGGAGGATTGCTTGAACTTGGGAGGCAGAGGTTGCAGTGATCACATCACTGCACTCCAGCCTGCGCTACAGAGACAACTCTGTCGCCAAAAAAAAAAAAAAAAAAACAGATTCTGCTTCAGCAGGTCTCATGTTATGCCTGAGAGTCTGCATTTCTAACAAGCTTCCGAGACATGGTGCTGGTCCAGGGGCCACACTTTCCACATCAGTGTGGAAGAAAAAGCTACCTCTCTGCCCTGTGCTTATTTTGGTCTAAAAGGTCATTTGTTGCCGGCTCCTGCTCAGTGACACATAATCTCTCTTTGTACCTGTGTCCCTGAATTATCTTTCCTGTCCCCACGAGTGGCCTGAAAATGACCCCACAATTGGAAAAATCGCCTGGCTGCCTCATGCAACCCTAACCTGCAGTTCTTTCAGGGAGAACATTAAGCCGCCTCCCAAGCTCGCCCTCTGCTGGTGAACAATGGTCATTTTTTTCCCTAAACCCTCACCCGGCCTTTCTTGCTGCACAAATGCTCTTCTTTTTTTTCCTTCCAATTAATACGGACAGAAGAGTCGCATGACCTATTCCAGAAGTTTATTGCACTGTTGTACATTTTGGAGAGTGTTTTCACCCTGTTCCTTAAAGTACACCCCTCAGAGGAGGTAGATATATGTTTGACCAACACTGTCTGGCAACTCACGATGTTGTGAGTTATCCGTGTTGCCTAAACATCCTCTTCTTGACTGAACTTTGTTCTCATCCCACCCCACACACTTTCTACAGGGGTGGCAAGCCTTCATTTACTCACAGCTCGAATGTGGCAAGGTCACGGGGAGTAATGGTTTCCTTTGATCCAGGGTTGGAGGAGGATGCAAAGTAAGCATGTTCCAGAGACAAAAGAACATTTAAGAGAAGGATATGGAGATGGGAGACTCATACCACAGATCATACCACCATCACTCATTCATTAAAACATTTCTTCATCACCTACTGTGTGCAAGACTTGGGACTAGGAGCGGAGAATTCTTAATCCCTGCACACGGGGAACCTAAGCCTCATAGAGGAAATAAACATAATAGTGAATCGTTAGTGTCTGCCGTATGCCAAGGAGCATACGTACATTACCTTATTTAATTTTATTTCATCCTCACAGCAATCCTATGATCGTCCTCATTGTATGAATGAGAAAACTCAGATGCAGAGAAGTTGAGTCAGACTTCTAGTTAATGAGGAAGTCAGTTGAACAATATGTAAGCCTGGCCCAGTGGCATGTGTGTGTAGCCCCAGCTACTCCGGAGGCTGAGGCAAGAGAATCACTTGAGTCCAGGAGTTCAAGACTGTATAGTGCACTATAATTATGCCTGTGAATAGCCATTGCACTCCAGCCTGGGCATCAGAGCTAAACCCCATCTCTTACAAAATAAAATACAAACTTTAAACAACAATTTGTTATTATCTCTCAAGGTTCTGGAGGTTATGGGGCTCAGCGGGCTGGTTCTCACTTGGGGTTCCTTATGTAATTGCACTCAGAAAGTGGCCGGGGCTGAGATCCATGTCTGCAGCCAGGGCTGGGATGTCTAAAACAGTTGGGGGCTGGTGGGTATCTGCATCCACATGGCCTCTCCACATGGCTAGCTTGGCCTTCCTCTCAGACTGGCAGTCTCAGGATAGTTGGACGTCTTAGGTGGCAGCAGACTCCCTGCTGTAGCGAGTGTTCCACAAAACCAGACAGAAACTGCAGGATTTCTTGTGACCTGGACTCTAAAAGCAGGGACATTGTTTCCGCTATAGTCTGTTGATCAAAACAGTTACAGGTCAGATTCAAGGTGTTTCTGTGTCTCAGTGCGAGAGTAGCTTACCAGTAAAGCGAGATAACGAATTGATGGAGCCCATCCTGGAGACAAGTCGTGACACCAGGGTTTGACCCTAAGCAGCCTGACTCCAGCCTCTAGTGTGCTCAAGCATTATGCCCCACTCCCCTGACACAGTACGGGCACAGCCACAGAATGCCACCTGTGGCTCTTACAAGATATCATGGTGGCTTCTAGGAGAAGTGATTAGCTGTGCCGGTGGTCAGCAAAGGCTTCACATTAGAGGAAACACCCCCTCACACATACATACTCCTTTCTTCTCAGTGCAGAAGACAGACAGTGGCTGCAGTGGGTGGCACATGTGCCCCTGCATCACGTGAGGTGGCCTAAAAGCTGAGGGCGAGAGGCAGCTCTGAGGCAGCGTGTGGAAGGGAACTGACCTAGAAGAGGGAGCTATGGAGTCCAGTCCCAATTGCACCACAGTGTAATGCTGGGACCTTGAGGGGAACCAGAAGGCCAAGAAAGGAAAAAGCAGAGGCCCTGGGCCTTTGCAGAACATCAGCAGGGTGAGGTTTCTGACTGTGTTGTGCTCCACTCCCTTCTCCAGATTGGAGACCCACACTTGGTGATCTGTATGGACTGCTCGGCGGACACCATGACCAACCGCCTTCTCCAAAGGAGCCAGAGCAGCCCGCCTGCGGACGACACCACCAAGACCATCGCCAAGCGCCTGGAAGCCTACTACCGAGCGTCCATCCCCGTGATCGCCTACTACGAGACGAAAACACAGCTACACAAGGCGAGTCGCTTCACTTTCCCCTCTGAAATAAGTCACTTACCTTTTTTTTTTTTTTTTTAAATGAAAAGAGAAAAAGCTGAGAACATTTTAGTTAAGCGATCTGGGAATTAGAACTCTGCGCAGCTGCAGCACTGGGGCCTAAAGGCCTAGCACAGTGGCTCTTGCCTGTAATCCCAACACTGTGGGAGGTCAAGGCGGGTGTATTACTTGAGCCCAGGAGTTCAAGACCAGCCTAAGCAACATAGTGAGACCCCCGCCTCTACAAAAAATCAGCTGGGTGTGGTGGCACATGCCTGTCATCCCAGCTACTCAAGAGGCTGAGGTGAGAGGATTGCTTGAGCCCCAGAGGTGGAGGCTGTAGTGAGCTGAGACTGTGCCACTACACTCCAGCCTGGGCAACAGAGCAAGACCCTGTCTCAAAGAAAACAACAACAACAACAAGAATTTGGACCAAAATATGAATCCCTTACTCTTCACTTTTGTTTCAATCAAAATTAAATATCTATCATCATATAGACCATAAAAAGGTGGTCATATAATTTTCACAGATGACCTTATAGTTGCTGAAAACAACTCCTTTTTCCCAAAAAAAGAGAGAGAGGGAGAGAGGAAGGAGAGAAGGGAGGGAGGGAGGGAGGGAGGTATGAATGAGATGTAAGCTCTGCCACTGACTCTGGACTGTGAGATGATTCACTAGAGCTAAGATTCAATGACTTTGAATTTCTATAATTTTACATCATTCACAATTGGCTGTTGGCTCCTTTGCCTCAATTTCTTGTGATAACCAACATTTTTAGAAGAGGCTGCATATGGGGCCAGGAGAGCAGGTAATTAAGTAAAACAATGAAGATAGTGTGAGGAAACGAGTGTATCAACCTACTGATCATGAGCTCTGTGCTGATTCACCATCAATTTCATGAATTTGGGAAAACTGCCCAGTTCTCATCCTTCCACTCATCCCATAACTATGTGTCAGGCACCCATAGTCCATCCATTGCACTAGTGGTTTGGATGCAAATAAATAAGATTCTTGAATCCTTGCATAGCTTAGGGTTTCACTAGGAGAGAGAGACAAACGTGTGATCACACAATGAGATCAAAGCAAGCACAGAGTGTGTGGCAAGGGCCCTTTCCTCCAGTGTAAGGATCCAGGAAGGTGGCCTGAGGAGGACTCGGCTGAGTCTCTGAAATGGGGGTGCACACCACACCAGAGAAGCCCCAAGTGGTGAAGATGAGGAAAACCAAGTAACTCCATGAGGCCGTGACATAAAGTGCCAAGGAAAAGAGGGATGAGAGATGGAGATGGACAGGCAAGCAAGGACTAGATGAAGGTGGATCATATGTGGGAGCAAATAATTGTCCTGTGAGTGATCGGAACTACCGAAGGGGCAGGAATAATCAGGATTTCCATCTAGAAAGCTCAATCCATCATCCTTCTGGAGAATGGATGCAAGAAGGTAAGGCCAGGAGACCACTGAGAGGCTAGAACAGTATCCAGGAACAAATCCATAAGGACAACAGAGTGAGCTTTTGTCCAGAAACCAAATCCTGAGGACTCGAACCACAGAAGGGAGTGTGGGATCTCTTGCTGTTCACAGGATAGGAGACATCGTCAATAAATAACAAACTTGTCTCTGAGGAAGATACATTACTGATTCCTTCGGGGGAAACCACTGATAATTCTTATCTTCTAACTCTGTTAATGGTCCGCTTTCCAGAATCCTGAGAAACACTGGGTATAGAAGTCTGAAAGATGCCTCTCCATTTAACTCAGAGTGTAAAATATGTGGCATGAGAGCCATCATCCCCCACTTCCGCATCCATGGCCGCCATTGCTAGTTTATCCCAGCACTGTTTCTCAGTAAACAGATGTGACCTGAGAATGTTTGTCAACACAGCACTCCAGGCAGCTACTGCCTATTAATAGGACTTGATGTGCACCTGAGACTTATTTGTTGTGCTTTGTATTACCTCTGACTGCCACATTTTTAAAATAAAGACTTCGATCTTTAAAAACAGGGCCAAGTGCAGTGGCTCACACCTGTTATTCCAGTGCTTTGGGAGGCCAAGACAGGAGGATTACTGGAGTCCAGGAGTTTCAAGACCAGCCTAGGCAACATTTCAAGACCATCTCTCCAAAAAATGCAAAAATTAGCTGGACGTGGTGGTATATCTCTGTGGTCTCAGCTACTTGGGAGACTGAAATGGGAGGATCACTTGAGCCTGGGAGGTCAAGGCTGCAGTTTGCCATGATCGCACTACTGTACTCCAGCCTGGGCAACAGAGCAAGACTCTCTCTCAGACAAACAAAAAACATAAACAAAAAGTGCATTATATAAGAGCAATGTCATAAGAATTCAGGGCTGCAAAGGCCTTTCCAAAATTAGATTGCCTAGTGATTTCTGCCTTTTGAGCAGCCTGGAACATGCACAGAAGTTACCCAGGTAGAAAGATTTCTTCCATCTGGGCACGGTGGCTCACGCCTGTAATCCCAGCAGTTTGGGAGGCCAAGGCAGGCTGATCACTTGAGGCCAGGAGTCAAGACTAGCTTGGCCAGTATGGTGAAACCCCATCTCTACTAAAAATACAAAAATTAGCCAGGCATGGTGGTGCATGCCTGTAATCTCAGCTACTTGGGAGGCTGAGGCAGGAGAATCACTTGAATCCAGGAGGCGGAGGTTGCAGTGAGCTGAGATGGCGCCACTGCACTCTAGCCTGGGTGACAGAGCGAGACTCCATCTAAAAAAAAAAAAAAAAATTCCTGGTGTGGTGGCGCTTGCCTATAATCCCAGCTACTCAGGATGCTAAGGCAGAAGAATCACTTGAACCCAGGAGAAAGAGGCTGCAGTGAGCCGTAATCGCACCACTGCACTCCATCCTGGGTGACAGAGAGCATCCCTGTCTCAAAAAATAAAAAAAAAAAGAAAGAAAGCTATTTCTTCCACTATAAAGATTTGTAAAGGTGGGAAAATTCCTAATTCAGGATTTAACCACTTTTAGAGTTGGAAAATCCCTCTTAGCTCTCTGTTGTATTATTCCAACCCGAATTCTACAAACTCACAAATGACTGCTCATAAGTGCAGGGTTGAGTTCTCAGACAAATCTGATTTCTGGAATCTTCCTTAGAGCTTTCTAAGTTAATGGTGTCCAAAAGACCAGATTGCAACACATTTAAAGATCTTTATTGGCTTTTATTCATGATTCTAGAATTGGGCAGACCTCAGGACCAGAAAAATGTTTGAAGAATAAGCCACATGGTCAAGCAATATTTATGTTTAGAAAACAGAAGCGAGGAACAGAGGTTAATTAGTTACAGCCTTACGTGAATCAGCTGGCCACCTACCACTGACTTAAGCTCAGCTGCTGTAACTACCAAAACTCAGCCATCTGTTACAGTGTGTACACCCAAGTTGTTTGTTTCATTTAGCACGGATGACTCCACGTTGATTGGTTTGGTCTGTTGGGCCCAGAACAGGAGCCTAGTCCAAACCAGTGGCCTCCTACAAATTGTATTTAATGGTGGAAAAGAGGTTTGCAGTCCCCTTTGGCTCATCTCTTCAACTTCCCCTGCATTTTGGAGATGCTGGCAGCTGGGTACGTGGTGAGGTAACATTATGATCCACTGCACAAATAGGTAAAACCTCTCCAGCCCGGACTGCAGAGCAACATGAGCTCCTGCCTTCAGGACTCCAAGAGCCTCAGGGAGGCTGCTTCGTCCCACTGCCTCTGCCCAGGGCCATCCCCTACCCACACAGCTGCAAAGATGAACAGTCCCCCCTACGCACCCAGCATAGAGACAGAGTGTGCTGGGCCCAGGAAGCAGAGATTTGTCTGCAGGTGCCCGTGGGGTTTGCCAGCAGCTAGGACGACAGAGGGGGACTGCAGGAGAAGCAGGGGAGGGGATGGGATTGTTTGCCTCTGGAGAGGGAGAAAGCCGCTGGCCCGTTCTTTGTCTGGCCTCTGGGTTTTTGCCCAGTCCTCTTGCATCAGCTTAATATCCCTTGGTTTCTAAGTAACAGCTTGTGGCCTGCTCCTGTGATGCTGTTTGGACTGTTTGCCCCTCCTCCCTGTTGTTTTACTGGATCCAAGACAGGGCTGCTCACCCAGGAGGACCTCTGGGTCACTTAAGGAGCTTTCTTAAAACTAGGTGGGGCTGGTGAATGCACTTCAAGAAAACAAGTGAGACGAATCAGCAGTTCTGTGAGATTTATTTAGGAATGAAAGCCACAGGGTGGGCCAACTCATGCAGCCCACACATAGGCCAGAAGCACCCCACTCAGGCCTCTACCCAGCAATGCTGACACTGAACCCATCAGCTGACACCCACATCCCCTGCCCCATGACAGTCAGCCCTGTGGCCACCAGCTCGCTAAAGAAAGTGCAAGAAAGTTTCAAACAAAGAGAATTTTTTTTTTAATTTATTTATTATTATTATACTTTAAGTTGTAGGGTACATGTACGTAACGTGCAGGTTTGTTACGTATGTATACTTGTGCCATGTTGGTGTGCTGCACCCATCAACTCGTCATTTACATCAGGTATAACTCCCAATGCAATCCCTACCCCCTCCCCACTCCCCATGATAGGCCC